ATTCATGTCTATCATATTAATGCTTAAATATATGTTACATGTTTAGAGAATTTGAGGTAAATTATCTTGTAATAAATCAAGCAATTAAAACATGTAAAGAATCAATATTCAAATGTGCTCACTGCATTCATTATAAATTATAAAATATTTAGCTTAATCTAATTTTAATTATCACGTGTCATTTAATTATAAAATAACCATTGTTACATAAAATGGAAATAAGGATAAATTTATTTAAATTTTGTTAAATAATATTAATTCTGACAGAATATTCTAAATAAACGGAAATTAATATTAAAGTCAAGTGTACCAAATATTAATAAACCAATATGTTAACTTTATACTTCTTACTTATTGATTTAATTAACAAGATTTATAATTAATTAAACTTTTTAATTACATGTTCTATTGAGTATAATTTAAAAAATATTAACTAAATGTATTATTGATCCGTGTTGAGCATAATTAATTTAATTTAACAGCACGTTATAAATTATACTTATTTTTACATATTATTATATAAAGATTAGTAGATTATTGTATTAAATATTACCAACATTTCCATCAAAGGTTTAATGTAAATATTTTTATTATTATCATGAAATGACTTATACTTTCCATGATGATGATCTTATGATGATGATTAAATTATTCCTACAGTAAACTCATTTAAAAATAATTTACAAATACAATACTCTCGGAAAAATTAGCATAATTCTTATGCATGTTTAATTATGCAAATATACAAATCATGCGATATTTGAAATACAATGATTAGTTTAAATTTTAACCTATTACTAATCACTTTTAATTAAAGGTGATTTAGTTTATATTAAATTGATTTTTGTTGGACAACACGATTCACTCCTAATATCTATTGATATCTAATTTATTATTAATTTCTTTTTATTGGAAATTTTTTACAGTTTATATTATGTTTAATACCTTAAGAAAATTGATAAACTTTTCTTCTAGACCAAAGTTACTTAAGTACATGTTGAAGTACAATCTTAATCTTAATTAAATGTTACCTACTCAAAATTATTTATTTATTATTTTATTGATTGTGATGCTATTAAATATAATTTGTAACTGAACTTTGTCTGAAGGTTAACTTCTGTATTATCCAATTGTGTGTTAAATTAAACCATTTTTGATTCACAAATATTTTATATAAAAATCAATTATATTTTCAACAATTAACTGATTGATTAATATAATAATTAGCAATTTAGTTATTAATACTTTGTTTAATAGCTTTATTTTTTTAATCAAATCTACAAACTTGTACTTAAAAATATAATTCCAGAAAATTGTATTGAATTGTAACAGAATATATTTTTGTTGCAATAAATCTTATTTAACAAAACAATTTGAGTTTAAGATAACTATTATTTGTAAACAATTTAAGAAGACTTTGATTTTTGAGTCTTGGGATGGGTTGAAGAGGTGACTGCTGTGGCAGCGGATGTCTGCTCGGAATCACTTGAGTTACTTGGTTTCGGTGAATCCTTTTCCATAGAGTAGTAATATTTGTCTAACCATTCAATGGGAAGCACTTGAGCCATATTGGACCACAATTTGGCCTTTAGTGAAGTGTATGGTGTGTAGCGAATGAGCGGCTCCTGGCCTCGGACTGCGTCCAACACATCATCCATGGCCTGAACAAGGTCGTTGGAGAATACCTTGGCCAGATTCTCAATCTTCATCTCTTGTAAATACTGATTGCCGTATAGATTCTGGATGTGCTCCGGAGTGATCACCCAATTCTTGTTCATCGACTTAACAAACCTATCCATTGTTATCAATTGTCCAGCCTTTCGGTCAAAGGCCAGCTCTACGGTCGACACATTAATACCCCAGTCATACAACTCACGCCTCAGGGCGTCGGCAAAGGCCAGGTTTGCGTGTTTTGACATACAATAAGCCGTCAGTTTTGGGATTGTTAATCGTCCGGCGATGCTCTCGATGTTTACAATGCGTCCTAATGTTAATAAATGATTTAAAATTAAATATAATTTAAATACAATTTAACATTTAAAAATTTAGAAAATTACAATATTTTTACCAAATATATAAATTCTCACTAAATTTTAGTTATTTGTGGACATATTTTCTATAACTTTATCTTAATTCAATTTAAAGATATAGTTATAAAGTTATAAGTGTTTAGATTTCCAATTAAATTCTTAACAAATGGATTAATACACATCCCTTTTGTGGCTTTACTTTACTTCCGTATAAAGTGAACGTATTTTTAAGATTTTAGGAAATGATTTAATCTTACCTTTTGATTGCCGGAGAAGTGGTAGAAAGGCTCGAACAACGCGAACGGTTCCCAATGTGTTCACATTGAAAATCTTTTCATACATTTCAAACTGAGACCAATCAAAGTGACCGAACTCTTGCACTTCGGCCGCATTGATAACTGCCCACAAAGAAAGGCTCGAACAACGCGAACGGTTCCCAATGTGTTCACATTGAAAATCTTTTCATACATTTCAAATTGAGACCAATCAAAGTGACCGAACTCTTGCACTTCGGCCGCATTAATAACTGCCCACAATTGTTCGCCTTTGGCCTCCAATTCGGTGCCGATCTCTTTGGCCACTTTGTTGACCGCAGTTTCGTCCGTCACATCCATCTCCTTCACACTCATAAGTGTTTCAAACCGGGAACCACTCATCAGTTGTTCCACAGCCGGACTCTTAATGTCAGTAAGAGTAGCGTACACTCGGTATCCGCTTTCATTCATTTTGATGGCCAAGTCGTGACCAAACCCTTTGTCAGTACCTTTGAAATTATCGCACAAAATAAGTCGAGACAATTGATTAAATTTTAATATAATTATATAAAATAATTAAAGACAAATCGCTAACCAGTGATGAGAACAGCCTTTTTGGTGGTTGAGATAAATTCTCTATTCATGAATTTGCGGACATATTTAGTGGAAACCCACGCGAGACCTGTCATCAGGACTGAGCTGCCGATGAGGGACACGGCCTTATCAACCAAACCCACATATCTGAGCGCATTTAACGCCGAGAATATCACTGAATATTGGGTTCGAAAGCTCGTCCAATCAAATAAAGCCATCCTTTAATTGTTTATCAATATATTATAACAATATATTGATTAATGCAATTAAAACTATAATTATTGTTAAATAAAATGAGAAAATAAATTGGAATGAATCTGTTTTATATATTAGCATTAAAGTTCTTGACACAAAAAATGTTTTATTTAAAAAACTATCCGGAATATTGATCTCCGGATATAATTCGCATATGTATTACAACAATAAATTATAGGAAATCCATCATTAAATGAGTTATCAATGCTTTATTGTCGTACTTAAAAATTACCATTAAAAATATTTATTATTTTAATTTATTGCAATTTAATTGATTAATTAATACTTTTAAAGTTGTCATTAAAAATATACAATGTATTGAAAACCTATAAAGCATTTAATACAGTGTTATATTAATTGTTTTTATTTTGATTAAATTTGATAATAAGCACAAATATTTATTTAAAATCTATAAAATTCTAATTACGGATAATTGATAATTAGTTATAGATAATGCAAATTAATTTAATAGTTATATTTACTTTAGAGTAAATATTTACAAAACAGGATTTCGAGGAAAACATTTTTTAAATTACACAAAACAACTTATCATTAAATGTTATTATTATTTATACGTATTGTTGCAGAATATCCTATCAATGAATGACATTTTCGTTGAATGTCTTATCAAATAAATGAAAAAATTTCTTAATCTCTAAGCAACAAAAAACACCTTAAATTATATCAATATTTCAATGAATATGTGATTTATTAGAAAAACCATGATTAGTATTTACCAATAACTCAAATATTTGATGCAATTTTGCAAAATCCAATTCATCCGTAACTGAAAAGTGTTGAATCAAAAAACAATAAACCATGTTTTATATAAGTAATAAATATTTATTAAATATATTTATACTATCAATAATATATGCACCAAATTTGAGTGAACAACAAACTCCAAATCCAAATGTAATCCCTCGGGAACCCGACTATTGTCTACAGCAGAGGACCAACGTGTTTGATGAAAACCATGGTGAATGTGGCGAAGAATATAGTCACCTCAATACAAATAATTTTTGCTCACAGGTATGTAAATAATATGAATGTTTTATAAAATTAATATCTCGTTTAGTTATCCGGGTTTGAAAAATGTATTGCATTTATGATTATTAAATTTTAATGGTTACATAAAATATTTGTTTTGTTAGATTGAATGCGAGCCCATAATAGATTGCAATTCTATGGACAATGAAAATAAAGTGGTCATGGAAAATATTACAGGCCGGGGATGTTGTCCCGCATGTGTCACTTATTTGGGTAATTCACCATAAAGTTTATACAAAAATATACAATGTTATACAGTATATAGGCATATAAATACAGTTCTGTTATTTTAATTAATTTAAACTTTATAAAATACAGAGGAGTTTGCGGACTGCGAAGTGGGCTCAGTGTTGGACAGGTGTCGAAACGGACTGTTTTGTAACCCATCGACCAAACAGTGCAATACTCCAGGTCTGGACCCATCGAAGGACAAGTGTCTGATTGAGTACCACAATAGGATCCACGGGTCGTCCAAACAGCTCCGCTTCTATATTGAGTCGAGTAAAGGAGAAACCAAATACTTTGCCATCAAATACCGCAAAGACTTGGGAGATATGCCCGGTTGTGATGATGAGACCGGACAGTATCAGCTCAAACAGTGTAAACAGGAAAAGTGAGTGTCCAATACTGAGAGAGAGAGAGAGAGAGAGAGAGAGAGAGAG